GAAGGAAGGAAGGAAGGAAGGAAGGAAGGAAGGAAGGAAGGAAGGAAAGAAGGAAGGAAGGAAAGGGAGGGAGGGAGGGAGGGAGAAGGAAGGGAGGGAGGGAGGGGAGGGGAGGTTGAGGGAGACAAAGGGGACACAAGAGCCCACTTGATGATGCTCCTAATGATGAAAGCTGAAACAACTTAAATTGTTCTAGCTCAGCTTGTCCAGGGCTGATGAGGATTGATTGTAACTGCAGCCCTACAGGGAGCTTTAAACTACCATGAGCTAGAGAAAAGAGGCTTCTTCCCTATCCCTTTCCTCACTGGAGCTATTGATGGTAATACATCTATTAACTCAAAAACAAAAACTCTCCCCCCGCCATGTAGTGCAATACACATTGTGATCGATTTAGAGATAAAGCCTAACCTACAGTGTTTAGATGATTCTCCCCTGAGGTTTTACTGCACAGGACATACTAAAATTATTTAAGCATCTATTTCTATATATCTATTTCTGGCTGGTTGGCACTGTGTGGTCTAACCCACGCATTGTGAGCAATGACAGAGCAGGTAAGAAGGACAGCAGTTCTGGGAGGCTGTCCTTCCACATTTACCACATGTCTTTCTGCCACACAGCCCATAATAATAATTGACATATATAGCCTGTTTCTGGTGTGTCAGGCATTGTGCCAGTCACATTCCCCTTGTTTGATTATTGATTCTTTTTTTTTTCTTTTTTACTTTTTAATTTTATATCATGTGCGTTTGTTACAAATAAAAAAAAATCATCTATTTTTAAAAATACTTATTTGTTTGCATTAACACACTTCAGCAAAGAGGAGGAACTGGCATTCAAATATGGCTAGCTAATCATGACCATGTTAATTGTACAGACTTTTCTTTCTTATTCTTCGGTACTGAGGATTGAACCCAAGGACTTGTGCGTTCTAAATACACCTCAGCATTGAGCAACATGCCCAGTCCCCAAAGATACTTTTCTAAGCAAACAGTTCTTACATATTATGAACTTGGCACTGAGCTAGGTGCCATAAAGAATAAACATAAATCGGACAGAATCGAATCCCTTTAAAAGGTGTAGTCAGCGAGGAGGAGGGAGAAGGACGTGAGTAATGTAGGAGAACACTGGAATTCTCTTCATGTGTCCATTTAGTTTTGCTGTCCTTTATGGAGTTAGTTCATGCTTCTTGTCTTGACAAGTCTTAGAAATCAACTAGAAAATATATATTTTATAAATGAATTTGATTACTAAACAAAGTATTAAATATATCAATTCTAGACTATCTTTATATACTTCTGCAGCTCTTTCTACCCTCTGTTTCTGGGTTCTGTCATTTTTTGTTATGAAAAAGAAGGCATGGAGGAGATCCTAAGCAGGTGGACTCTTCACATCTTTGCTCCATTTGATATGTGTCTGTGACAATGAAACCCAATAGGTAGCAGAGGTGCTAAAAGCCCCAAACAATGAGTGTGGGGTGGGGAGATCAGAGGGCATTTCACACAGCAGGCTGGGTAAATTTCTAGTCCTTACTGAGGATGGAAGCATTAGGGTGGAGGAGGCAAAAAGATTATTTGCATGAAAAATGTTTTGCCTACCACTTGTTGTGATTCCCATTTATCTGTAGTTATGTTTTAAAAGCTGCTTCCTAAGGAAATTCTTCCAGCCATTTCTCAAAGTAGTTTTTGTTTATTTGTTTGTTTTGTTTTTGTTTTTTTTGTTTTTTGGGTTTTTTTTTTGTTTGTTTGTTTGTTTGGTCTTTTGCAGGAGGGAAGGGATTGTCGAAAAATTTAAGTCATCTTAAAGGACAGAGGTTTAGAAGCATTTCATTATTGCAATGATCCAAACCCATATATGTCATTTCTTCCTCAAAATCCCACTTGGTGCTCTTGCCTGGCAGGGAGCATTGCTGGTGAGGATGGGGGGTGTAGGTGAACAGAAAGGGGTCTTCCTGTGGTGGATGGTAAGCGAGAGAAGGAACGTAGCTGTTGAAATCCGCAGGCACTTTCTCTTCATAAAGCTCGCCCCCTGGATTTGGCCATAATGGGTGGCAGCTAGTTTTGGCAGCAGGTGGTTCCAGGGGAATCTGCTGGGGAAAGTTCTCCAAAGAATTCTGGGAAGGAAAGAAGTCACAAGGCCAGCTGGTCAGAGGAAAAGGATAATTGGGACAATAGTTGTCATTGAGAGGGCTTCTCCCCAAAGCAGCGTTTTTATTCCATGCTTGCAGATTGTCATAATCTGAGTAGACTCCAGAGGCAGAAGGCTGAAACAGGTCTCCACTATTGTAGATCCTATTACTGGAAAATCTGCATTTTTCATACAGCTTAGTGGGGTCTAAGGTGGAAGTCGGGTCTGCCAGATCAGTGGTTCCCCCTGAACCATAACTCTTGGAGAAGGATAAGCAATCATTCAGTGAATTCGGCTGGGGAGTGTTAGCTATTAAATGTCCACTGTAACTGCCAGGCAATTGGACACCTTCCTGGAATGACCAAGTTAAAGGTAAACTTCCCTGACTTTGTGTTTCACCTGGAAGAGACTTGGATCCTGGGTTCCCCTTCAGCTTTAGGGAGACAGAGGCAGGTGCCCCATGCACTTTCTTCATTGCTCTTCTTGCCTCAGCTTCTAACTTGGTTTCTGGCTTTGGATGATCATGCTCTCCCTTTGACTGGAAGAATATGAAGCGACCATCGTGTCTCCAGAAGTTGGTGACGGGGAAGCCCCCATGGCCTCGGCAAGGAATCAGCTTCAAAGGCCCATTACAGTTGGGACAACTTTTCTTCTGCTGCTTCTGCCGGGCTTTGTCACAGATCGCAGGTCTCAGGTAGACCTTGCGCCCCTCCTTGGTAGAGCAGTTGTGGCCGCACACCACCACACCCAGACAGGACTTCTTGTGGATGTGAGAGTTGTGGTTGTTAGTGTTGCGCATGGCCCAGCTGCTCAGGTGCCGCTGTGCATTCCTGTCTTCTGAGCTGTATATGTGCTTCACATAGGAATCTGGCCACTCCTGGAACCAGTCGGTCTTTTTCACATTCTGTGGCAGTTTCATGTCATTAATGTCCCAGTTTAATACCTCTTTGTCTTCAGAATCAAAGTCTTCAGGTTCCATGATAAAGTCAGGTCACCCACACGTTTTCCTCTATTCAATTTCCTTCAATTTGAACTTGAGAATTTGCTCTCAAAGGTTCTTGATATAGGTGGATCAGCCTTCTGACTTCTTATCCAGATGTAGACAATATTGTCAAGAACTCATCTCCCGTTCAGGTCCCAGTAAGTTCTGGTCATTTTCCTGTTCCCTATTCCAGGTCAGGGTACACTATGCTAATGAGCTCTGGCAACAATCCAATCAAAATCTAGATGCTCTCAGCTCAGGATAGGTAAAAGCAGCCTGTTTCTTCTCAGCAGCCAACAATGTAATGAATATTCTAAGGTGTGCTTCTGAACTTTCCCCTTCTTTATGTTGAGGACCTTGTAACTGAAATGGACATTGAGAAGAACCTTGTGAAGAAGTACAGATGTCTTCCTTCTTGTTTCATAGGGTAAGCCCACACAGATTCAATCACTGTAGATCTTCATTCTCTTATCATTTATCCAGCCTGTAATCCCAGTGACTCAGCAGGTTGAGGTAGGAGGACTACCAGCCTCAGCAATTTAGTTAGACCCTGTCTGAAGGCATAAACTGAACCAGGTGATTGCCCAAGACCTCTGCCGTGGGGGGCGGCCTGATCGAGGAGCAGGCAGTATGTGACACCGATTATTGATTCTTTTACAACAACCACATGAATCAGATAACAGTAGTCTCTGCACTTAACATGGGTACAAATTCAGAGATTAAAGGGTTAATCCAGTCTACACAAATAAAAAGAGCAGAACCAGATTTGAAGCAGGATTTCTCGGATTCCAGAATCCCCACATTTCACCCATAAATGATCTGCCTCTGTGCCAATAAGAAAACCATTGGAGAGAGAGGAAGATGGAGTAGGGGACGTGCATGTTATTCCCTGGACGTGGCATCTTGTAGCAATTTTCTCAAAGGCTGTAATTTTCTCATCCAAAGAAGAAACGACCGGAGGGAGAGGCAGGAAAAGTTCGCCATCTACTGGACTGGAAGCAGAGAGCAAGGAAGACAGGAATCCAACTCAAAAGTGAAATCTACTTGGGAGACTTCAGGCCTGGGAAACCCAAGATGGATACTGTCACTTCTGTCATTTCATTTAAGGTGGCCAGAAAGACCAGGAAAGGCATGATCCATGGAAAATCAGGCAAGAAATTAAAGCCAGGGAAACAAAATACTATTCCCATTAGAAGAGTGGGCAGGCTGGTAGACAGAAGTAGCTTGATATCAAGAAAAGAATCTGGGGTACTGTATACCTCTATTGCTTTGAGAACACTGAGTATAACACATGTGGGTAGTAAAAGCCCCCACACCTGAGAGTCAAGGTTCCTTCATCTTAACAAGTAAACTTTCTCTTCAGCTTGATGATCAGGTCAGAACCTGAAGGTAACAGGTATGGCTGATAGCTGGGTTGACGCAAGCCATGAGGGACTAAGAAGGATACTAGAACAGCAAGGCTATATATGGCATGAAACACGGGCTAAGAGATGATATACCAGTCACAACAATCAGATCTGAATACTGCTGAGTTAAGCAGAGAAATTTCATAGAGGATAAGTCAGTCACTGCCATTAAGGAGAAGGGGAAGGAAATACCACTGGTTGAGTACTTGCTCTGCACCGATCATGATAACAGGTTTGGGAATGCAAAGAGGAATAAGATGGGCCTTTCCTCTTGGGGAGCTCAGAGTCTAGCAGAGGAACCCAGCTCACAATTATCTCAGTGAGGTAAAAGTGTGTAGGAGACAAGGATGTGAAGGGCAACCAAAGCACCCTCCGTGGGTAGGTAAGGAGAATTCCAGAGCAGGATCTTCTATCTCCTGAGGGGTTGACGCTTGATGGGTTTTAAATTACACATAGGAATTTAGCAATTGAGAAAGAAGAAGGGGATTGTTGGCACATGAGCAACGTGAGGCACAGCGTAGTGTGTACATGGGAAGCTCCTCTCGGGAGCGCAGGGCAGAAGGGATGGGTGGAGGCAAGAGGTCAGAGCAGGGTATGAAGGACTTTCAAATAACAGGGCACCATGGAAGTCTTCCGTTAGCCCAGGTTTCCCAAGAACTGGCAAAGCTGAATATCAGGGAGCCACAAGAGTGTTTGCAGAGAACTGGGCCAGCTCCAGGTGGACTTGCCACGTCAAAAGAGGCAACTGGACTTCACTCCTGACCCCATGCTGTGGAAATGTGGACCCAAGGTGGCCAGACCTTCTCACTATTGATGAAAATCTAAACTGTACTTTCAAATGCTACTATCCATCCCCACTCTGGTTCTTAATGTCTCTTAAATGTTTTGAAATCATCACAAAGAGAAAGCAAAACATACTCAGTTAAATTTCTGCACATTTAGGAATAAAAGAGAGACTTAAAATCCAGACAGTGTAATTTGGTTATTAATCCCTGGAGTCAGTTCAGCCTGGGTTTGAATTCTGGTTTTTCCACTAACCAACCAGGAGGTCATGGACAATTTAGATAGCCTCTCTGAGTCTCCTGATACAAGACAGTTAGCATGGTTTCTGTGAAAGATAAATATAAATTGAATAATGTATTTAAGCATTTAGCACAGGACTTGGCATACAGTAAGTGCTCAATATATAAGCTTCTGTTGTATCTGTTGTATTATCTTGTACATTGTGCCTTGTATTATTGTCTAGTTTTTTTTTTTTTTAAAGATAGAGTGAGAGAGGGAGGGAGAGAGAGAGAGAGAATTTTTAATATTTATTTTTTAGTTCTCGGTGGACACAACATCTTTGTTTTGTATGTGGTGCTGAGGATCGAACCCGGGCCGCACGCATGCCAGGAGAGCGCGCTACCGCTTGAGCCACATCCCCAGCCCCTATTGTCTAGTTGATGTGTCATTCTCCATTGTATAAATTAGACTTGACTTTTTCTTTATAGTTAAAGCACCACAAGTAACTATGATAACCGAAAGAAAGAAAGAAAGAAAGAAAGAAAGAAAGAAAGACCCTGTCTTCAGTTTTCACACCCATGGTAATAAAAAAGATATAAAAAGTCTAACTCTTTTCAGCAGTGGATTTTTGTAGACATTTGTAATAGCCTAACCTGAACTTATAATTAAAGATAGAATTGACTGCTTAAAGAAGATGCCTGAATGAACAAGTAACTCCATAGCTAAAGATAAGATGCTTTACACTTAATCCCCAAACCCTTGAGATCCAACTTTGCTTAGGGAGCATTTAACAGAAGATTAGCAGCTCCTGTTGATCTATCCTTAGCTCACATTTCTGTCTTCTAGCAGAATAGGAAAGGTAAGATTAGTCTATGTGGGATCAACATACAGAGAGTCCCAAATGAGATCACTGTTTTAATGTATTGGGAAGGATTCTCAATTTTAAGTGAGTGGAAACTACCTCAAGCTTGGTGCAGTGCCACATGCCTGTGGTCCCAGCTATGTGGAAGGGTGTGGCAGAAGGACTGCTTGAGCTCAGGAGTTCAGGGCCAGCCTGGGTATCATTTCTGGGTATGCCGGAACTGAGTAAATTCCTTGGGATTTAGAATGTTTTTTGGGAAAAAAAAAATTGGAAGGATTTAGAACTAGGTAAGAGCTTCATCTTGGTAAGGGTGAGAAGATTCTGGAGTGAAATTACTGTGTAAAGTCACAAGATTTTTCTATGTTGAACTGTCTAGAAAACAGAGCCAATGCCCAGCTATCCCTCTCCTCAGTTTATACCCCAAAAGACTTAAAAACAAAACAGGGACACAGCCACATCAATGTTTATAGCAGCACAATTCACAATAGCTAAACTGTGGAGCCAACCTAGATGCCCTTTAGTGGATGAATGGATAAAAAAATGTGGCATATATACACAATGGAATTTTACTCAGCAATAAAAGAGAATAGAATCATGGCATTTGCAGGTAAATGAATGGCGCTGGAGAAGATAATGCTAAGTGAATTAGCCAATCCCAAAAAAACAAATGCCAAATGTTTTCTCTGATATAAGGTGGCTGACTCATAGTGGGCTAGGGAGGGGGAGCATGGAGGAATAGATGAATTCTAGATAGGACAGAGGAGTGGGAGGGAAAGGAAGGGGGCAGGGGATTAACAAGGATAGTGGAATGTGATAGACATCATTATCCAAACTACATGTATGAAGACATGAATTGGTGTCAACATACTTTATATACAACCAGAGATAGAAAAATTGTGTTGTATGTGTGTAACAAGAATTATAATGCATTCTGCTGTCATTTATTTTTTTAAAAAAATTAATTAAAAAAAAGAAAGAAAATAGGGCCAATGAACTTGCTGAACTCTTACAGGCAAGTACTGGAGTGATCTACAAGAAGTCCCATCCCTTTCAACGGCAAAGTCTCCCCATGTATTAGGATTCTTCAGAGAAACAGAACCAATGGGATATGCATATAAAAGATGAACTATGGGAATTGGCTCATATGATTATGGAGGCTGTGAGATTAAAGATTAAAGAGGAATCTTTCTTGCAAGCAGGAAAGCTGGTTGGTGGTGTGATCTCATGGGAAGACAGTCTGAAGGTTTGACAACCAGGAGAGCTGATGCTGTAAATCTCAGTTGGAACCCAAAGGCCTGAGAACCAAGAGTACTAAACGTGTTGGCAGAGAAAGATGGATGTCCCATTCAATGGCTGCATTCACCCTTCCTACATCGTGTTGTTCTACTGGGGTCTCAATGCCTGCCTGTGTTAGCTTTTCATCTGTGAGGATGGCCTTAAGCTTGAGCCTAAGCAACTCCATTTAAAAAACTCCAGTTTGAAACCTGCAGTCTCACCAGGCACGGCTAACTGAGCCCTCCAGTATGCCCCTCAAGCACACTTCTCCCCACCCTGATAAACTCAGAGTGAAGCCTCTGTCAAGCTATCCTGGCTGATAAGAGGGAAAGGGGAAAAGATCAGGGTGGGGACCACCAGACCAGATGTTTTAAACCCAGGATAAATGATGTCACTGAGAAATCTGGTGGCAGCTGATAAGGATTGAAAGGAGGGGTCAAAAGCCCCCAAAT